CTTTGAGACATCTCTGTACCATTTTCCATAGAGATTAATGCGAATTTACATTCCCACCAGCAGCGAATAAGCATTCCCTTTTACTTTCACCATATCTATACCAACATCTGTTTTGTTTTGTTTTGTTTGTTTTGTTTTGTTTTGTTTTGTTTTTGAGATAGGGTCTTGCTCTGTCTCCCAGGCTGAAGTACAGTGGTGTGATCTCAGCTCACTGCAACCTCCACCTCCTAGGTTCAAGCGATTCTCCTGCCTCAGCCTTCTGTGTAGCTGAGACTTCAGGTGCCCACCGCCACACCTGGCTAATCTTTGCATTTTTAGTAGAGATGAAGTTTCACCATGTTAGCCAGGCTGGTCTCCAACTTCTGACCTCAAGTGATCCACCCACCTCAGCCTCCTAAAGTGCTGGGATTACAGGCATGAGCCGCTGTACTTGGCTCTATTGTTTTTTGACTTTACAATAATGGCCAGTCTTGCAGAAATAAAGTGGTATTAGTATCTCATTGTGGCTTTGATTTGCACTTCTCTGATGATTAGTGGTGTTGAGCAATTTTTCATGTTTGTTGGTTATTTTCATATCTTCTTTTGAGAAATTTCTATTCATGTCATTTGCCCACTTTTGATGGGATTATTGGTTTATTTTGTGTGTGTGTGCTGATTTGTTTGAGTCCTCATAGATTCTGGATATTAGTCCTTTGTCAGTTGCATAGTTTGCAAATATTTTCTCCCATCCTGTGGGTTGTCTGTTTACTCTGATGATTATTTCTTCTGCTGTGCAGAAACTTTTTAGTTTAATTAGGTCTCCTTTATTTATTTCTGTTTTTGTTGCATTTGCTTTTGGGATCTTAGTCATAAATTCTTTGCCTAGGCCAAGCTCTTAAATAGTTTTTTCTAGGTTTTCTTGTAGAATTTTTATGGTTTTAGGTCTTAGATGTAAGTCTTTGATCCATGTTGAGTTGATCTTTTTATATGGTGAGAAATATGGATCCAGTTTCATTCTTTTACATGCAACTCTCCAGTTTTCCCAACAGCATTTATTAAACAGGATGTCCTTTCCTCAATTTATGTTTTTGTATGCTTCCTCAAAGATCAGTTGGTTGTTAAGTGTCTGGCTTTATTTCTTGGTTCTTTCTTCTGTTCCATTGGTCTATGTGTCTGTTTTTATAGCAGCACCATACTGTTTTGGTTACTGTAGGCTTGTAGTATAATTGAAGTCCAGTAATGTGGTGCCTTCAGATTGGTTCTTTTTGGTTAGGATTGTTTTTGAGCATTCAGCCTCTTTTTTGGTTTCATATGAATTTTAGAATTTTTTTTTTCTAATTCTGTAAAAAATGATGTCAGTATTTTAATAGAAATTGCATTAAATCTGTAGATTGCTTTGGGCAGTATGGTGATTTTCATGATATTGATTCTTCCATTGATTCACCCCATACTCATCAATCCATGAGTATGGGATATATTACTCATCAATCCATGAATATGGGATGTATTTCCATTTGTTTCTGTCATCTATGATTACTTTCAGCTGTGTTTTGTGGTTCTCCTTGTAGAGATCTTTCACCTCCTTGGTTAAGTACATGCCTAGGTATTTTATTTTTTGCAGCTGCTGTAAAAGGGGTTAGATTCTCTATTTGATTCTCAGCTTGGTTGCTGTTGGCATGTAGCAGTGCTACTGATTTATGTACGTTGATTTTGTAACCTGAAACTTTCCTGAACTCATTTATCAAATCTAAGAGTCTTTTGGAGGAGTCTTTAGGGTTTTCTAGGTATATGATCATATCATGGGCAAACAGAAACACCGTGACTTCCTCTTTTTTGACTTGGATGCCCTTTCCTTCCTTTTCTTGCCTGATTGCTCTGGCTAGGACTTCCCTTGTCCTCAGTTTCTGCCTCCACAGAAACAGGATCAGGACACCGGCCATGCCCAGCACAATAGGGTGATTATGAGGCTTGGGGGACGCCCAGAATGTGCAGAGGGCAGAATTGGCTGCAGCCTAGGCTCCCGAGTGTGGAGAAGCGGAGGAGGCTATGGCCCCGACTCAGGTTCCAGGACTCTCCTGCCCCCCAGCAGCTTCCAAGACCCGGAAGTGGTTAGAGTGGGCCTGGCCCTGGGTTGCTGGGCCGCAGGGGCAGAATAGTCTTCCCCTTTGACCCTCACTGCTTCTCTCCCCAGGAAACTTGTGGTATCGCCAGGGGATCACGCCCAGCTACCCGCAGGGCTCCAGCTGGGAGCATGTGTCCAACAACGTGTGCCGAGTGTCCGTGGGACCCCTGGACCAGGTGGGGGCGCTCAAGGGGTGTCACGCTCTTGGGGTGCTCCAGTTCCCTCTCATGTCTCCCCCATCCTGTGCCCAGCCGTCTCAGTGCAGCTGGGTCCAGGGAATTCATGGCATCTGTGCTCCAGGTCTGGGTGATCGCCAGCAAAGTGCAGGGCAGCCACAGCCTGAGCCGGGGGACGGTGTGTCATCGCACAGGCGTGCAGCCCCACGAGCCCAAGGGCCAGGGCTGGGACTACGGCATCGGGGTGAGCGGGGCCCTCGGCTGGGACTATGTGATCCCCTTGTGCCTGCACTGGGCGCTAAAGACGGGGACGGCCACTGTGGGACAGTTCCCTGGGACCCAGTGTCGGAATTGGAGGGAGGTCCCCAGGCAGAGCCCCTTGGCACCCTCAAGCCCCTGCGCCCCTGGTGATACAGCTCTCTCCTTCCAGGGAGGCTGGGACCACATCTCTGTCCGGGCCAATGCCACCAGGGGCCCCCGGAGCTCATCCCAGGAGCAAGAGCCGAGTGCTCCACCAGAAGCCTATGGCCCCATCTGCTGCTGAGGCGCCCCCCCACACCTAGATGCAGGGATGGTGCCCAGTTTGGAGGATCAAGGCTGAGCCATTCTTGTGCTGAAGTGTGCAGTGGTGGAGGGATGTCACCCAGGTGGACTCAGGAGGGAACCTGGCCCCGAGGCTGTGGCCACTTCAGAGGCACTGGCTGAGACAGCCCCGAAATGTGAAGCTCTGCAGACACTACTGCACGTGTCCCTGTCTGCGAGGAGCCCCGGGGTGTGGGGCGTGGGGTGGGAGCTGCACCTCCCAGAGGCCCCGGCCCCTCCCACCCTTCCCTTATGCCTCTCCTTCCTGCCTTTCCAGGACTAGAACCTGGAACCTGGAGCCCGCCAGGAGCATGGGCCCTGGGGCAGCAGAGCCCAGGATGGAGCCCTACTGAGCTGGCATCTCAGACAGCACCTGGGTCCTGCCACCCCCAACCAAGAGAGACGGCCGTTGGGGCTCAGGGCTTCTTTACCACGTGCAGTGACCCTTTCTTAGAGCAGGACTTGCAAGGAGGCTTTAATTTCACAAGTGAAGGAAGGAGGCTGGGTGAGGTGGCTCACGCCTGTAATCCCAACACTTTGGGAGGCTAAGGCGGGCAGATCACCTGAGGTCAAGAGTTCAAGACCAGCCTGGCCAACATGGTGAAATCCAGTCTCTACTAAAAATACAAAAATTAGCCAGGCGTGGTGGTGCATGCCTGTCATCCCAGCTACTCGGGAGGCTGAGGCAGGAGAATTGCTTAAACCTAGGGAGCGGAGGTTGCAGTGAACTGAGATGGTGCCACTGTCCTCCAGCCTGGGCGACAGAGCGAGATTCCTCCTTCTCCAGTGGCAGGCATGAGCCACCTCAGCCGGCCCGTGGCTGCTTTTGATCCCTTGTGCCCCATTTGGGGGTTTGCTTCCTCCACCTGGACACTGCCCAGGAGGTCATCAGACCCCAGCTTCAGGCTCTGCTCAGTTGGAGAGGGGATGACTTTGCCACCTCTTGACCTTCCTGGGGTTCTGGTCTCATTTTCAGCAGGGAGTCTGTTGTCTGTTATCTGTTCAGTTTTGCTGTATGGGGTTTGTCACCCAAAAGCTGATGCTGAGAAAGGTCTCCCTAGGGCCCCTCCCACAGGCATCTGAGGGACCTGGCATTCCTGTGTTTCTGGAAGTAGGTCCTGGTGCCACCAGGTTTGAGCTCTCAGATCAATCACGGGAAGGGCCTGGCGGCGGCAGCCACCTACAACCACCCTGTCCTGTCTGTTTACATTTCACTATCAGGTTTTCTCTATGTGGGCATTACGGTCTGTTCCCCTACAACAGTGACCTGTGCATTCTGCTGCGACCTGCTGTGTCTGCAGGTGGCTCTCAGCAAGGCATGGGGAGGGCCTCACCCTGCAGGACAGCAGAGTGATGTGTCCTCTCGCTGCTGAGCACCAGCAGTTTACCTGCCTGGCATCAGGTCCTCAGATGCTTTACTCAATAAACATTTCCCCTGGAGTGTCAGCACCATACTGTTTTTATCGATAAATTGATTAAAACACGCCGCTCCCTGCGCGCTTGAACTAGCCATTGCCATGAAATCTTTTATTTTTGCTTTGTGACACAGCATCATTTCATGAATACTTTGAAGGGGCCATAAGAAAAAATAAGAGCCAATTTGGGTCATTTGAGAAACATTTTCAGCACAATTGCAGCAGGGGCACGGGCCCTTCAGCTCCAGCTGGGCTTTCCCAGATGGAACAATCGCGGTTCTGGCTTCTCCGCTGATGGGGATGGGGATGGGGATCATGCCTCTGGAGCTCTCAGGGCACCTGTCTGCGGGGCGGTGGGTGCGCCCACGGCCCTGGGGGACATCGCGGGAGTCTCTGACCCGCTTGTCCAGGGACTTGAGGAAACTCATCCCGATGGCCAAGGCAGGGGCTCCCCACAGGATAAAAGGATCCAGCCTGACCTTGGGGTCCAAGAGGAGGGCCAAGGGGTGGACATGGCCCCTGTCCCCTCTCCTCCTCGAAACACTGGACACCCCAGAGCGGGACTATGGCTGCTGAGGATCCTGTGTGCTGTGGCCACAGGGCATCCCCTCTGTCCTAAGGGGATGAAGGACTCAGCGGCTCTGCCCAGGTCACCCTCTAGGAAGCAGAGGGGTGGAGGTGCCAGTTCAGGGCAGAACTCCCCAGTTCAGGGCAGAACGACTCGCCAGTTCAGGGCAGAAACCATTGTCCTGAAGGCAGCCACCCCCAGGCCCTCCTGCTGCCCTGGGGAAAGCCTGGGCTCTAGCTGGATGCTGGGCACGGTCTCCATCTCCTGGATCGAGGCTCCTCTGGGTTTTCAGGCTCAGCTTGTTGGTCCATTCAGGAAGTTCAGGGGCGAACCAAGCCCTGCTCTGGCCACAACTCAGCCGGAAACAAGAGCTGCCAGGTTTGTAGTGCCTGAGTGTCCCCAATGGTGAGGTCTCTGTCATCTTGTGTCCCCACTGGGCAGGTGCCCTGCAAGGAGGCCCAGGCTTTCTCTGTCCCAAGCTCTCAGCTGCATCACCCTCAGCTCACAGGGATGGATCACCCTGACCTTCCAGAGCACCCCCTCCCAAGAGACAGACCCAGCAGCCTGGGGTCCCCACCCTGAGTTGTGCTGAAGGACAGCTGGGGCGGTAGGGCCAGGACCAGACCAGGCCTCTGATTGAGTCTCATTGAAATGAGACCAATGTGCCTGGGCCACTTTTCAGAGACCCTGACCAGGAAAGTTAGGCCTAAAGCGGCCAATGCCAGATCCTCAGGGTGTCACCTGTGTCCTTAACGTGGCCAGGGCTGACTCCAAGCCTGCCGCTGCATTCAGCATCTGGTGCCAAGATCTCCAACTTGGGAGGGCAAGGCCACCTGGTGGGGACAGGCCAGCCAGAGCTCAGGGCCTCTGCCATGGCAGCCACATCCCTGGCCTGGCGTGGCCCTGAGGGCCTTTGGGACATCTCTGGGCAGAGGCACGAGGGAGGGGAGAGCCAAGAGCTAGTGGGGCAGGAATGCCCAGCAGAAGGAAGCTGAGCTTGGGGCAGCAGGGACGTGCCAAGTCACCAGGCCTGGCCATGAGGACGAAGCACCTGGGCAGGGGGAGGGACGAAACTGCCACCCCCAGGCTCCACCATGCAGAGGGCCTTGCGGGTTGCCAACTCAAACCAGGACGCAAGCACATTGTAATGTCCTACAGACAACATGGTGCCAATTACATGACAACCCACACCAGAGACAATAAGTAATGGCAGAGGCAGGGCTGGGGGGTGCACACTCGCTCCCTGCATAGGTGAGGGCTGAGCAGGAGGCCTCAGAGCTATCTTGGGAAGTGACCCAGGGTCTCGGGACTTCTCTCCCATGCCCAGAAGGACTGTGCTTGGAACACCCTGCCCTGTCTCCTGCTCCAGCTCCACGGTGCCCCTCAGACTCTGCCCCAGACCCTCCACAACCTGGCACAGCCTGGAGTTACCACCTCCAAGAGCCCGGACTCAGAGGAAGGAAGAGACTCCAGCCCCTCCCCACCATTCAACCTTTGAGGATGAATGTGAGGTCATCTGCCCCGAGCCGCCTTGGGCTCTGCCAGGCTTGTCCTGGGCCTCAGTTTACCCCAAATAAGGGCGCTAAGCCCAGGCCCCATGCAGACCTACAATGAAGGTTGGAGGGGGGTTCCTTGCAGGGCGTTGGCCTTGGAAAATCTGTAAATAACCTTTTCCTGGGATCTCCCCTTGCCCTGGAGGAAGTTGGGGTGAAGAGAGTTTAGTTCCGAAGCTAAGGAGGGCCTTTCATCGCCCGCTGAGACCACCTGGCTCAATGAAAAAGGAGGACCGCCTGGGCCCTACCCAGAGGTTTGGGCCTCATGCTGCTGTCTGGGGCCACAGCCTACTCGCTGGTCCCCAGCTGGGCAGGAAAAATTGCTCCAGGGAAGTGACTGAATGTTGGGGGAAATTGGAGCCGCTGGGGCCACGTCCTCATGGGGTGTCATCACCCGTCTGGGCTTCATGGCTTGAAGGCCGGGGCTGGGAGAAGCAGGCTGGGCCACCACAGCCACCGCCACCCCCCCCCCCAACAGCCAGGCACTAGGTGCCCTCTCGGAAGCTGTGGATCTGCGTGGAGTACCTCTGCAGGTGACCCTGGGGCTGGGCCTCTATGGCCCCCAGTGCACCCCCGGTGGCCTGCTGCTGCTGCTGGTAGTGCTGGTAGAGCTTGGGACCCGGCCCCTCCAGGCCTGGGAGGCGGCCACTGGACATGGTGAGGATGGTGGCCGTCAGCGATTTGATGTAGTTCTTGGCCAGTGTGAGAGTCTCGATCTTGGAGAGCTTCTTGTCGGCGCGCACGTGGGGGATGACCTCGCGTAGGGCCTGGAAGGCGTTATTGAGCTTGTGCATTCGCTGCCGCTCCCGCTCGTTGCTCTCCAGCCGCCGCTGGATGCTGCTGTCCCGACGGCCCCCAGGCCCTGACGGTCCTGGCCGCCTGCGCCCACCGTCGCCCCCGCCCCGAGGCCCTGCTGCTGCTCGGGCTGGCCGGCTCCGCAGACTCTTGGCCGGCTCTGGGCCCGGGCTGGGCAGGGGCCCATCGAGCGTCCCCTCCCCGGGGGTGGGCTCTGTGTCCTGCACCGGGGCCCGGCGCCGCGGGGGCCGGTTCTTGGTCTTCATGGCCCTGGACTGGCTGTCCTAGGAGGTGGTGGCAGGGAGATGAGGCCCTTGGAGCTGAAATCCAGAACACAGGACACTCTGTGGTCACCCCACACGGACAGGGGACCCGCTGGGGTGCCATCCCCAGCAGCTTCCTCCTGCTAACAGCAATGGTACCAGGGGCAGGGGTTGGTGCTCAACTCCTGGAGGTCCTTCTGTTTACACCTTAGCCCTGGGCTGACCCCACACCCCACCATGACCCTGCTTCACCTCATACAGACCCCTGGAACCTGTCCCCATCCCTGTGTCCCCCTTTCCCCTGGTTGACACCCCGATCCCCGGATCTTTCTCTGGTCCCATGCCCCTCACTGCCCTCCGAATGCCTCCTGAGCTCGGTGACCTTTGCACTTTGCCTAGACCACCCTGAGATGTGTCCCCCACCCTAGCTTAGGGGGCGCCTCTGCCGAGGGCGGCATTCACTCCTTCGCCCATAGGCAGGCAGTGACTCCAGCCACCAGGCTCTCGCTGTCCTGCCCCACTGGACCTGACACGCGCAAGGACAGCGCTAGAGCCAGAACCACTGCAGACATGGGGCAGCCGTGGAGGTCAGAGGTCGGCAATGGCCAGGGCCTGGCGATAGCCCTCAGTGCCACCACGTGGATGGCCCCCGTGGGGGCTCCAGACAGACCCCAAGTCCCCCACCCAGGTTTCCCCCCAACCCCCACAACCCAAACCCACACCCCCCCCCCCACCCCCCCCCCCCGTGGGGGCTCCAGACAGACCCCAAGTCCCCCACCCAGGTTTCCCCCCAACCCCCACAACCCCATCGCTAGGTCCTGCCCCTGGGTCCTCTCCCCGCGGCGCTCTACGAGTTCCCAGCTCCCGGGTTACCTGGGGATCCGCGGCCGCACGCGCCGAGGCTGCCCACGGGGGACAAGGACACGTCGCTTTAGCCGCCCCGGGCGGGGCCGCAGACTCATGCAAATGAACCCTCGGGGCGGGGGCGGGGCCGGGGCGGAGCCGGGGTCTGGGTGTCCCGGGCGGGCGCGGGGCGGCGGTGGCTGCACCTGCGGCGGGCGGGCGGTGCCCGGGGCTCTCGGACCAGGTGGCCGCACAGCCCCGCCCCCCAGCTTCCGCCCCGCCCCCAAGACAGAGAGCCGCCCCCACCAGCCTCTCCCCATCCTCTCCCTACA